TTTTATGACACAGGATTTAAAAAAATGACATGGAGAATATTGTATCTATGAGATGAAGAAATAGTTCTGCTCGATATCGTCCAGGTTTTTTTATTTAAGAAAAACAAAAATAATAAACGAACATTTTTTTTGAATGGACGTTACAACCCGAACGCTATATCCATTGCAACTAAAAGAAGGGGAAATAACTCTGATTGGTATGGTAATGATAAAAGCTAATTTATCAAATAAGTGTTTAAATTGCGTTTTTTTTTTTTAAGTAAACCATTTTCGTGAGCTTTTAAGGTCTTTTTCAATATTGGATTAAAAAAAAAGCATGTCTGTACCAAATTTAAATTCAATCCATAGGGATTATTGGATTGCATTGCAGATTGGATACAATCTGGACAATCAGACAATCACACAAAATGTTATGATTATATATTTTCAGGCTTTCTTAGATGAAGCCTTTACATTATACAATAATTAATTTTAGATCTGTTGTCCTCATCTTTGTTGTTTTTAACACAACATTTCGGCTACTATATTTTCAAGTTTTATCAAGTCTTTACTATTCGGATTTTACAAGTTGCGTGGTCGTTAATCAAACTTATTTGAAGAATTTTTAATTTATTAATTTGTAGGTAGGAAAAAGTTGGAAAATAGTTAAATTGAAAGACCGAATAAAGATTTCTACCTGTAGACTGACGAAGGCTATATATCAGTCGAAGCATGAAAAACAAAATATATGCAGTTATTTTATAGATTTTCAATTTTGCAAATATGCGGCGAATACTTGATTAAAAATGAGTTAAAAAATTAATAATTTCCAGTCAATATATTTTATCAAATTCTTTTTATAAGTTATTTTTTATAACAAAGAAACGATATAAATGTTTTGTTTAATATTATTACTCTATTCTACGAAATAAAGATAAATTATTTACACAATTTACACTCGGAATATTGTCGTCATATTTTTTATTGTTATCACAACGTATCAGTCGTTTTGCCCTTTGACCTTCATCAGTCCAGGTAACCAGAGAATTTAGAACTGAAGCCTTTGTTTAGTTACAGTATCTGCTTATCATGTTTGATTGCATTCATCGAGGCTTCTATTTTCTTACTGCTGCTACTGTTGAAGCCTTGCTGTCATTTGTCTTTCTTTTTTAATGATTCTATGCTAGGCCTACTAATGTGGTCGTCATTCCCTAGCATATGCGAGGATTCTCTCAGATGTTTGGATCTCCAGGGTTCTTCTCTAATATTTTTACTTCATCCGACAATGCTTGATGGGGACTGAGACATTTAGCCGACGGACATTTAACCGAATGGATATTTAGCCGAAAATGTAGTGGCGTACTTTCATGTATGTCAAACTCTTTATCGCAATGTGCTACATATATTTATATTTATTTACTGGTATTAATTTATGTTTTTTGACAGGCTTTTTATTATTATTATTATTATTATTGTAAGATGATAAGTATTTTGAGAAAAAGTACATTTTACTACAGCAAAAATCTTAAGCATTGACGATATGAAAGATCTTTCAATTTCGCTTTTAATGATCATTATCTTAAAGGGATGAACTATCTTTTATCTTATTGTTAAATATGAATTTAAACAATTAGGTGCTACTTTTTACCTAATTACACTCAAATATTTAAAAAAATATTAATTTCAATAAACAAATATTGAAATAAGATAAATTTTAACTTTAAATTTCGATTTAGTAATTTATTCACTTGAAATTCATTAGTAATTATTAGTCCTATTCTACTTTATAATACTACTAATTAAAATACTTAAAGTATTGCTTGGTACTATTTTTATTTGTACTTTTTCGGTGAAATGTCTCTCGGCCAAATGTCCGTCGGCCAAATTTTCGTCGTCCGAATGTGCGGCTACGGGTTGATGATTGCCTGATTTTATTTTCTCGTACTTACCCAGAAAATCTACCCCCGTAGTATAGGGTTTAGTTCCGTGATAATTATTCGGATCTGATGAAGTTCTCGTCTACATCAGCTGAAACGTCATAATAACAACAAAATTGAGGACAAAATTCACTTAGAAATTCAGAGAGAAAATTACAGATAATATATGTATATCTTCTACTTAATCACTTGCTTATTGCTATTGAAAAGCCTTAACCCCAAAGTGATCGTAATAAGCGGATTACTCTGTAATATGTGAAATAGAGATAAATACAAAGTAAGTAAAAGTTATCAGCCGGTTATTGTTATCGAAAGAATACATCAAAATGTGATGACAATAAAGGACTTTATTTGTCAAAAATGTGTGCGTGTATCTTTAACTGCGTTTCGCTATATACAGGCTGATTGAAAAGTAACCCTCACCCTTTTAAAATACTTATAATTTATTTATTAACTATAATTTTAAAAAGAAATAGATATGAGGTTTTATTTAAAATTCGATTGTGGCACCAGATTTCGCTACCAGCTTCTCGAGCCACCCAGGAATCGCTTCAATTGACTTCATCAGGAACTCTTGTGGTATGGAAGACAGAACTTCTTGTATTCGCCTTTCAAGTTCTTCCAAAGTCTTTGGTTTGGTATAGAAGACTTGCACCTTTAACCAACCCCCCCCCCCCCCAAAAAATGTTACATGGTGTTAAGTCAGGCCTCCTTCCTGGCCACTCATATATAAAATAGGGAGTTACATTTCAATCATCCTGTATATATATATATATATATATATATATATATATATATATATATATATATATATATATATATATATATATATATATATATATATATATGTATATATATGTGTGTGTGTGTGTGTGTGTATGTATATGTGTGTGTGTGTGTGTGTTTCTGGTGCGTAAACATATGTTTTAGCATATATTTTCTAGTTCACTATATATTTACTATATATATAGGATTGTTTTTGCATGCATGTACATTTGTGTGTACATATGTTTTTTTAATCATTTCACTCCAAGCAAGGCAATAAAGCCACTAAGGCGCAAAAGGTTACTGAGTATGAAAGAATATGATAAAAAAAAACACTATTGAGGAGAGAGAATAATAAAAATAATAAGAATTAAGATAAAAGATAAAGACTGACATTGCATTTCAATTTTTGAAGCTCAAAATTTACTGCAAAGCAAGTATTTTGAGAGGAGAAACTGTTAGCATAGAACATGCGGTTATATTTAGGCATTTCAACTGTAAAAGGATGAGACCTAACTGCCAATCTAGTACTGCGTTTAAATTTGTAAAGACGAGGTACCAAAATGGAAAGCTCACCAGAACAATTATCAAGAAAACATGGATTTTTCTATATAGAAAAGACCAACAGAGGCTACGTTACATTGGTGGGAAAATGACTGAAATCGAGATGCCAGGTCATGACCGATAACATTGCAGATTCTTCTTTGGATTTTATCAAGAATCTCTAGATACATAGCAGTAGCACTAGCCGAGATGCGACAACAATATTCAATTCATGGACGAATGGTAGAATGTTTATCAGTTTTCTATGCATGCATATGTGTGTGTGTTTTTATCGATTTTTCTTTTTGGCGGGAAAGCGGGGAGTGAACGCGAACTGCGAATGTCAGTGACGCCAAAGGCGCGAAACACTTTCTCTTTTCGTATTTTGTTTATTCTTCCTGTTTTATTTCGTTTTTTTTTTCCGTTCACACCTCTTTTTTTCCCTCCCATCGAATACTTTCGACATACTCTCTTTTTTCTCCTCTGCCTCTGACTGTTTCTTGCTTTGAATAAACACTTTCTCCCACCTCGAGTCTTTTTCTCTCTCTTGATTTTATTCTCTTTTCTTTTCGAATTATCTCCAAGATTTTCTATTTTTCTTCTTTATCCTTATCATCCGTCCCGATAATCCGCAACATTGTTATCAGTTTTTCTCTTTCATTTTCTCTGTTACACTCATTCGTTTTTTTTTCGAACATATCAATCCTTTGCGCGTTTCGATTGATCGACTAATTTCCTTCGAATTAATTAACTTGTCCCCACCACATTTTCATTATTTTCCTTCATTAAACAAGAAGCCACTATAATACATCTACGAACGGCCAGTTCTCCACATAGATGTGATTTAAAACATAATTCTGATATGAGTTGAGTTTAGATCTTTATGAACAATACTCCCTCATATATATGCATTTTACATTACATTGCATCTTCACATATGGTTCCGTTAATACACTATTTACATTATTCGGACTATTGTCCTCATCTTTGTCGCCATATTTATTACAACGTTGTACGCTCCAGCCTTCTTCAGGTGGTTGGAAATTCGAACTGAACACTTTATTTCGCTCACTGGGGTAGACTTTTCTAGTTCCACGTGTCATGTTTAATGGATGTCAGTAATCTCCTGTTAATTCCCTTCTCCAAGTTCTCCACTGCCTTAACCGATAACAGATATTTTAACAGATATATTTACTAAAATTTTACAAAAATATCTTGAAATACTAAAGAGTAAATTTATTCAATAAAATCGACATTGTCTCCTTGTTTAATTTGGTGAATGTTTGCCATAATGCCAACGAACGAGGGATGCTGGGAATTTTAGAATTTTTTTTTTTATCAACAGAACTCATTCAGACTCTTTTTCTTTTTTTTCATCACTTTTATAAGAAAAAAACTTTAAATGAATTCGGCTGATTAAAAAAAAAAAAATTCTAAAATTCCCAGCATCCCTCGTTCGTGCGCATGTGTAGTCCTACCAACATAACAAATTTAGTCCGTTGAAGTCCGAAACGCGTCATTAGTGAACTTTATCCGCTTTTTAATACAATTTCCCAATAATATATATATATATATATATATATATATATAGATAGATAGAGAGAGAGAGAGAGAGGGAAGAGAGAGAGAGAGGGAAAGCGAGAGAATGAGTTCGAGAGGTATAAAACAAATGTGATAGTAGATAGATCGATGAATCAGTCGACATGATGAACAATTTTTATAGAGAGATGATGAACGATGTCTTGATAGATAAACATTGATAGGTGAATAAACGCC